CTTTCATGAAGGCTTTTATAATACAGTAAGTTAAGTTTTTTATTATCTACTTATAGTTTATTGAAGCTAAATGTTTTCCACATTGTAAGGTAGAATAACTCGTTGCACTAGATTGAAGTAAATTTACAGTAGACACTTTATTAAAGGGGCTATTTGAAAGTTTCCTCTGCTGCCAAATGCAGTTTCTTGCTGGCAGTAGGTCAAGAGCTTCAGCCATTGTTGTGTTTACAAGACAAGAGGTTATAATATGCCCTCTGAGTAGAGCTACTTCTTCAGCACAGCCTGTACGCCACAATGAGTTGTTATCTGAAAGTGACAATGGGCCAGGGCTCGCTGGTTAGCGTGTTAACTTCAGTAGAAGAAAAGATGTGATAGAGACGAGAGTTAACATTTGTATTGCTTTCCGCCTGTGGTGACAGCTGTTGGTGAGTAAAAGAATGAAGTTTGATGGTGAACTCGTAATGTTTCTTCTAGACTGGAAAGTAAACAGCTGTAAATGCTAACTTTAGCTATGTAACACTAGCAAAACGTACAAATAGCTCCTTTAAAAGGATTAGACATGATTACTGATTAATAATACTTTATATTTTGCTTTTGCAGTGAGGACATGGTCTTTGTGAAACAAGCTCAGCTCAGACAATCAGACAGAAACACTCATCTAGTTCTGGGTGCAATCAAACTGCTTTACAGTTTGCTAAAATATCTCCAAACATGTTCTCTTTCTAATTATACAGTCATTTAATCAAGAAACAGAAATAGAGAAGCAGCTTTGTGAGTTTTTTTCAGAAATGTTAACTAAAAGTGTCTGTCTTGCCAGTGCCTTGGATTATCTTTTTTTTTTTTTTTTTTTTTACAGTATTTTAAACACTTCACATTGTCGTATCAGTATTGGTTTTATGTACAGTGTGTGCCTATGTAATTTACTCTGTAATGCTGTAATACTGTAGTTTTGCTGTTCTCTCTCCCCAGGAGGTTTCAGCAGCAGCTCAACTGGGGGGTATGAGCTCAGATCACATTGAGATAAATATGTAATAAGTGTTATTCGTGCCTCATCTCCACAGATCAGGCCACAGCACCAAACAACACAAAATATGAAGGAAAATGGCAGCTCTAACTCCATTTAATTTAAAATGTGACACCACCCTCAGTTTTGGCAGTTGTCAAAAAGGGCAATGGGGAGCTTGTTAGCACAGAGCAACACAGGGGTGGTGAGTCTGAAGTCTGTTAACATCATTTGTGCCAGAGGAACGCAATACATCCAAATTTCCCAGGAACTATAAAGGTAAGACAAATTGGCTCAGCCAGCTGTTAAGGAGGGTGGCCTTCCTGCATCCTGTATGCTACTGCTAACCTCATCTTGTTTCTCATGTGCCTCAAATGTGCTGTTGAATTTTCACACTGTATAATTTTTTGCACTTTTGTAATTCCTCTACATTGCATAAAGGTTTAGTAAACACAGTGTTGCACGGTTTAAAGCACAATATAAATGAGTAAAAAGGAGTCTGCAGTCAGTCCACTGTCCCACTTAAAAAAGACTGGACTCAGACCATCTCATGGTTTATGGAATAACACGAGAAAAGGGGCAAACAAATCTTTGACCATATTGTATTTTTGACGTTCTCAACTTATCACTAATGTACTATGCAGTCAAAAGCTAATGATCACAAGTGATTTGTTCTATTATTGACATCAAAATTAGACACAGGACTTAACTGAAGACATAGTTCAGTCATTACCTCAGATCCTGTCCATCTTTGAAAAAGAAAGGAGTCTAACCTCACGGGCAAATCACAAGCTGCAGAAACTGAATTTATTTGGAAGTAGCCACTGTAGACAGCTGGGCAGCTCTGCAGGTTAAGCATCCAGCCTCGTAACAGCGTGCAGTTTAGATTCAAAGGCCCGTGTGAGTGTATGAGTGGGCACTCACCAACAGCATGAAAGTACAGCCACAGAATGTGTAAATCAATTTACGACTGAAACAGCTATTGCTGCTTAGCCTGGAGGATTGATGTACTTCATGGAAAGTTCAGACTTGCCAGTCCCATTGACCTGTGGAGGGCTGAACTGTGGAGTGATAATGGCACTGTACGCCAATTTCAAGAGCAATAGGAGCAGACATGCAATGTGCTTTTCATCTACGATACTAGCCCTATTGTGCTGGCTGTCTTAGTTATAGTAATATGTAAATGATCAGAAAACATTAATGGGCTTTTACCATGTAACATACAGCAGAAACATGGGATTTTTACTGACTTGGTCTCATGGTCAGCAGCCTGTAACCTACAGGTTAGCTGCCTGTAGTTAAAGGTAATGGCGGTAGATGCCGATCTAATTTTCTTTCTGAGAACTATAAATGACAGCTTCACAAACATTTTGCAACTTTTTACCAATGGACAATTCAATTGTGTGTTCATAACAAAACACTGAGTTATTGACTATTAAATAAATAGGTGAAGGGCTCTCTCTCTCTCCCTCTCTCTCTTTAAACAAAAATCACATGACGTGTGGGACTAGTTTTAGCCACGTTTCCTCTGCTAGCCTCTTAAAATCGGAAATGTTCAGCGGAGTGATGGTTTTTTAAGTCTCTGGCCTTTTGTTGTTGTTCCGAATGTTTTCGTGGTTGTTCCACAGCTCGCTTTAGCCTCACAGGTGTCACAAAATGCAAACTTTGTGCCATTTTGTGTTTGTGTGTGCCTGTCTGTGCGTGCTTGCTTGCGTGCGTGTAACTGTATCTGTGCTGTTGCATGCGCGACGTGAATCGTTGTACGGCGCACAAGTGTAAATTTAACCGGCATAGAATCAGATATCTGAGGCTGATAGTCCTGTCACCGATCATAGCTGATTACACTGAAAACCGGCATTCAGTGCATCTCTAGGCAGTACGCTGTGTAGGGGGTCAGCAGTGAAGGCTGAAAGTCAGGACAGTAGAGTACTTGACTGGAACTGTCCAGTACTTCCAACATGAGTCTACTACTATAGTTCCTAATGTGCTTTGAATTCAAAATGTGACTATTTAACATTTCCATTTATTTGTATTTAACATTGTAGTGTATTTTTTAATCTTGCTTCATGCAAACAATCACGTAGACAATCATGCAATCAATCATGCAAATGCAACTAAATTCTGCCACCTTCCATTGACATTATCCCACCCTAACTACTTCATCTTCTGCAGGGTTTTTTAAGGCCACTTCAAAGGACACGTGAATTTACCAGTTCAGGTCTGCAAAGCCAGCCAGGATTATTATTTATTTGTTTTTTTTCCAGCAGGCCCTTCACAGTGTATAAACTGAAAACCAATGCAAAACATTGCATTGATAAAACATTAATAAACTCAAATGGTCTCTGGTTGATGTCTGGTTAACAGACAAAAACAATTATCAATGTTAACATGGTGCTGGACAGGGATTCTTAACGTATTATATATATAAAAGAACCCAGATCACCACAGCACTGACCCCAGTCTGGTTTAATTTGTCTCGTTGTGCTTTTGTTCCTGATCCTGAGCAGTCACCCAATCTCATTCCCTCACTGTGTGTGAGCTCACAGTAAATGAAGCAAAGACCAAGTTGAGCTCATCCTCACCTTACTCATGACCTGCTGGTACCACAGGAACCCCTGGACCTCCCCAGTCACAAGTTTTTCAATCCGTGTAGGTAGGAAAATAATGCCAAATGGAAGTCCAAGCAACAACATGATGCATTATCAACTATATTTGGTCAGAAATGACAGCAGATTATGTGTCAGAAGTAGACTTTCACAGGCTCTTATTTGATTTTTGCATGGCAGTATAGGAGTAATAACACCTCGTATACGTGAAAACGTGTGTCAGCTTTCAGGATACAATAGCTTTTCAGGAAACCAGGCTTTATCACTTTTTATGCATGTTCATCAATCTTGAATTAATCACTTCTACATCACTCGCAAGCAAATGCAGTCAACTGAGAAAATTGAGGTATTATTTTTCTTTTTTAAAAAATCATTAAAATATAGAATTTTTAAGGATGTAATTTTGTGACTGTGTGCCTTTGAAAGCTGAAGTTCAACATAGTAATGTTAGCCTATGCATCACTGGGGTAATTTAGCAGCTGACTGAACATTATTTCAGTCTGAGTCTGACCTCAAGTCCATCAAGTGAAAATAGTGAAAATTACTGTCAGCAAGAGGAGCTTGGACAAAATGTCAATCATGGCAGCCTCAAACTTACTTTCCTGACGCTTATTTTCAACTCTTGCAGACAGTTACATTCATACAATACAAATGCAATAAGCCCACAATAATATCTTCACCATCAACTGTTAACACTGCTCCCATGCCCTCTACCTCCCACACATTGCATCTTGCCAGCTCTGGTATCAAAGAAAATCCATTCCTTTAGCCACTGTGATTATTGTTCATGTTAAATTGGACATTCCCGACAGTACTTGAAAGCAGCACAAATCCCTCTATACCCAGTAAGCCTCTGAGGGCGCAGAGGAGGGGAAAGGTCACCACAGACAATCTCCCATCTTGAAGAATTGCTAGTCAATCCATTTCTAGACTACACTATTTGTGGCATGGTCTTTTTTTTTTTTTTTTTTTTTTTTTTTTTTTTCTTTCTCTCTCTTTTCTCACCTGCCTCAGTCCTCAGCAGAGACTTTGAAGACTGAAACACACCTTTTCCCTCCACCTTTAGTTCTGCACCATCACACAACAATTAAAACCGTTAAGTCTGTCGTTAACAGCTGCTAAAGATTAGCAGAGTATCGCTTCTGAATTGAGTGTTTTCCAGAGACTAATCCTCTGAAATCCCCCCTTTTTTTCAGCGGCGGAAACATGATAAAACAGACAGCACTTCAGTCATGTTTCTGTCTCTCCCCACCACTAAATACTTCAGTCAGCCGGCTGAAGCCTGCAGGTGCAGCTCAACTTTGGGACAAGGATTCAAAAGCAGCAGCGGGAGGGAGAAAATGAGAAAAAGAAAAAGAAAAAAAAAAAGAAAAAGAAATATGTTGACTCACCTGAGAAAGACCGTCTCTCCTTGTCGGACAGTGATATTGTCCATCACTTTGTTGTCGGAATGAGAATCCCCTTGGCTGCGGACAGGCAACCCTGCAGGCACAAGAAGCAAAATCCTCAGAGAGAGAAGAACTGTGCATTTGTAAAAAGCGACAAAGTATCCCCGGACAGACATCGTCTTCAGCCTCCAGAGGTGTAGAAAACAAATCCCACAGCGAGACAAAGAGTCGGTTTTCGCCGAGTAAACGCTCCCGTGGAGATTATTTACCCCCAGTTCATTGGTCTTAATCCAAATCTTCTCGCCAGGTAGCCGCGGTGAGCCGGGGAGGAGAGACACTCGACCCTATCTGGCTGCGCTGTACAACACCCGCTGCTTATTGTTTAGAAGGGAACAAGGAACAAAATTATCTCTCACTGGCGGTCCGGCGGCTGACGGTGTCCCTATTCCTCTACTAAGTTTTTTTTCACACAAGTCATAAACAAGCAAATATGTATCCGCACTGTTTATCAGCCTGAATGAGCCTAAATAGAAGGCGGACGACTGAAAGACACGAGAGTCATATTCACAAGGAAGAGAGGCGCCAAGTTTGCGATTTGCATCGGTTGTCAAGGAGTTGTTTCTCTGTAGCAGCTCTGTATTATGAGCACATTGGGTCTGACTACGTCACAGAAGGACAGTGGTGTGAGCAAAACGGATTCATCATCCGTTTTTACAGGAACTACACCTGCATGGAAAAAGGAGGAAAAATCATGTCATGTCAATCTTTAGGCAGGGGCAGTGAGACTCTGCTACTCAGGACTATTGTTCATTTCATAGCATACCAATTATCCACCGTAATCACAGATCCCCCATATGATATATTGAATAATATTTTCCTCTACTATATATATATATATATACTGTATATATAAAATGCAGAAAGCCACTAAACTTTCCTAAAAGCATTGATGGCTGTAAGCAAAGATTGTTTTCATTATCAAAAAAGAAATATATAATATAATATAATATAATATATATATTAACATTATTAAAACAAAACAAACAAACAAAAAAAAAACATTGAAAATTCATCATAGAGCAAGATAAACCAAAAATTCACGTTTGATACTTTTTGGCATTTTTCCTTAAAACATAAATGAAATAATTAATTGATTAAAACAGTGGCTGATTTATTTTCTGTCAGTGACTTGTAGTAAATCAACTAATCTATAATGCTTCATGCCTAAATCTTTGCTAGAACAGGATAAAAGAAATAACCCAAGAAATAAATAAAAAAAATCCACAAAATAACTAATTCAGTGTGGGGATTGATGTGGAAAGCATAAAGTGGGACTCTGTCACTTCTGAAAGATGAAATGGCACACTCTTTCTCTTACAATTGAAAAGATGAATTCATAATCAATAAAGCACACCCTTTGTCAAGTGGGTCTCGCCACAGCAATGTTACTTCGTCTGATCTGACCAGTGTGGTGGCTAGTGAAGCCCAAATCACACTTTCCACCATGTAGGTGCACTGCTGTGCAAAATTTCTGTCATGTGCTCATGCCCATGCATCAAACAAATTACATTAACTGTACATTCAAGCATATTAACCATTGCAGTGTTGAACACATCCATGGATTCATATACTGCTTGAGCTTCTGTTGTATATCAGGGACAGACTGACGGACTCTAGGTTCTATACTGTTCTACTGTTCTGCAATTACTTTTACTACAATTCAGCATTTACCATCGCTAATTGCTTCTAGTGGCCAGAGTGGATGCTTTTTAGCGAGCAGTCTGACTACAATGCCCATTGTTGTTTTAAAGGCCCTCGCCTGTTTACAATAAAAGGAATAACCTTTTTTCATGGAGGATAGACTGACATGTAACAGAAGGAAAAACACAAGGGTAAATGATGAAATCAATGAGGTGTGAATTTTATTCAGCTTACTCTGTCATGGCTTCTTGGAGCACTTGAACAGAACAGAAACACTGTAAATGTCATTAGTGACACTGTGCTTATGTAATGTCAGAATATCTACAGTGAAGAAAGCCCATTACTGATCCTCTGCAGACTAAAAGCGGGATCATGTGACAGACCAAGCTTCCTGAAGACACGCCTATGGGTTTCTAAATGTTATGTCACCGACAATCACTAAAACATGAAACAATCATAAAGTTAAACAGTGTGCCGTACACGAACCACTTTATGCCAGCACTGCATTGTTCTATTCCAAAAAATAAAAACATGTCTTTCTTGATGCTGCTTTAAGATGAGCGGTAGTTGAATTACAGTAACCACTGAAGTCAGAGAGCTTTCCTTTAGATGATGCTGCCATTAAATACCCATATTGTTAAATCAGATCTCTGTTTGTATTTATTGGGCAACAAATTACAATGAAAAAGAAAATATGTGCACAGGAATAAACTCAGACATTGAGTGGCTGCAATTCTCTACCTTTGTCTCATTCACACACACACACACCAGACATATATTACTATTCATTCCCAGTTCCCATTCGGTTCATTTTCAGTCTGAAGCCATGCTGCTTGTAATAGAAGCAGTAGCTATCCTGAGATGAATATGTACAAACGTTAGCTAAGCATTCAGCATTTGTAAGCCTGTGCTTAACATTCACAGATTCATGTTGTGATGTGTCTCCTTTTGTATCTGTTGGGAATTTGCTCTGTGCATGGTGCATCGGTATGGAGTCAAATTAGGGTCAGAAAAGTGATGTGAGCTTGTAAAGTGACGTTCACAAATAATTCCAAAGATTGTAGCTGTACATCAACCTTTGTAAACCTGTAAAATAAATCTGCACATGAAATTTAAGTTTTTGCATGAATATAAAAAAAATTGTATTTGTAAAATGAATTAGAAAAAATAAATAAATGAATAAACAATTAACAATTATGAACATTATGAACAGTTATGAACACAGAAGAAGTGATTTGTGAACATCTGAATACAGATACAGAGCAGAAAATAGCATGCAGATTTATTGTACAGGTTTACAAAAGTTGATTTACAACAAAAAAAACCCTAACCCTAACCCAACTTCACAGAACATCACTTTACAAGCTCAGAACTTTTTTGACCCTAATTTAAGCCCATATGTCAGGGGCTCTCTGGCTCTCTCCCAATCAATGCTTGATTACTCGGATTTCATCTTAACGACCTCAGAGGACTGATTCATCTATAGTTCATGAAATAAGCAATGGTTAAAAAACTGAGAACTTGTTTCTTGAAACAATTGGATCATGGTAGCGTCACATTTGTAGCATTTATACATTATCTCAATAAAGTAACTAACCTCAACAGTGAACTGAAAAGTACATGAAGCTCGATATATGAAAGAGTAAACTACTGCAAAATATGGTTTGTAAACATGGAGGTGAACTGAACAGCCAATGAGTCTTTAAGCCAATGAGTCATATAAACATATGAAACAAACAATGCGTGGAAAAAAAGGGGTCAATTGCCAAATAAAGGACCAGTGTGTAGGGAGATCTATTTTTTTAATTAGTGTATAATCACCCTTTGTTTTCGTTATAGCTTAGAATAAGCCCTTCATATCTACATAAGGAGCGGATCCTCTCCAACAGAGCTCGCCATGTTGCTTTTGAAAAATGTGCATCTTAAGATAAAGTGGTTAAGAAAAATGAAATGAAATGTGTAGCTCCAGTTTCCCTTTTTTCTTCTTTTTGTTAACTCCATTTCACATCTGAACAGTCTCAGGTATTTTTTATAATAAAAAAAAATCTCAACATATCTCAACAACTGAACAGCTTTAATACCTCCTTTTCTCTTTCTTGGCCTCTGATATCCCACGCCCCCACTTTCCAAACTTATTTCTCTGACTCTTGTCTCTTGTCTCATCTCTCCCCTGTGTGTGTATCTCACTCACTGATTCCAGTCCAGTCCAGCATGATTGGCTGAGTAGCATCACATGACCAATGCCGTAAAGGCTAGAAAAGCTGCACCAGTTAAAATAGAAAACAATGCATTAAAATGTAATCATTTTCAATAATTTATAAGTTACAGGTCCGGGTCCAGATAGGAGGGTGTCCGGATCCAGACTGCATTCTGCCTATTAGTAACAATAAAGCACTATCCAAGGCACATGGTACTTCTACAAAAATATCCTTAGAGAAAATGAATTAGTAACGAATCAGTAAATTAATTAAGGCCATAGCAAATATTTCCTTAGATGTAACTTTTTTTTTTCATCTTTAGCACTGTTGGCAAAGCTTTTAGCTCAAGCATTTCATTTCATTGCCAGCAGTGGCTGCCATGCCTGTAATTGTTGTGCATTTGACAAATACAGATCTTGAACCTTGATTCTCATCACATTTCGATGTCCATAAACTCTGATTAGAGAATGAGTCTGGCTCTGGCGCACAGAGAACTGTTCTAAACTTAGCAGGCGACTGTGTGCTTGTCTCAGACCTGCTTTTAGAAAAAAAAAAAAAAGAAAACAAGAGAAGAGAGGGGAAAGAAAATAGGTTTTCAGGCCTTTCAGCTTCTAAATCCTCCGCTAACATAATGTTGGGTCTGTTTTAATGACAAGGTTTAGATGACTGGTTACATTAGAATCTGACAACATGAGTGCATTTTCAATGGCAATATTTTGAGTTGTTCCATTTTGTCATCTCTCCATCAGTTTTTTTTTTTTTTTTTTGGCATATTGGCATATTGACTATTTGCACTGCTGAGTCATGTGGACATTCAGAAGACTGCGGCTTTGTACAAACTTTATTCTACTTTGCAAAGCCTTGTCTTCATTCTTTGTTTATTGCTACTGTGTTAAAGCACATGCACACACACTGGATAGAGTGACTGTATCTTCTTGAGACAAAGAGATAATTTTGGCACCAATCTGCTCCTCAGGTATCAGCATTGCGACCAATGAGTCACTACATCCAACATTACAGCACCCATCGGTGCTCTTCGTAGGAAGAAACATGTATTTTCTTTACTTTGGCTACCTTTACAGAATTTCTCTAAGAGCAGAATTTTAATTTTTAACACTATTATTCAAAGCTTGATTTCATAACTTGAATACCAAAAGTTGCTTCTTTTTATCAGTAGATGGCTGAAACATGAACTGCATTGTTAAAGAGATGATGTTTCTATTATTGATCTATACTCATAATGCCTGAAGCAATAAAATGTAGAGAGACTGCTTCTTCAATAATAATAAAAAAAAATCATGCTCGCCTGGTTTAGCCTAATTCCTTTAGGCTCTCTGTCTGGCAGTAGCCTCATGTTAGTCTCCTCTACCTACCTATTCATGACACGGTG